TAATACCTAGAAGTTTATAACTCAACTTATGAAGATATAGGCCAACTCAGTCAGCAGCTATATCAGGAAGCTTTAGAATGTGCTTACAAAGTTTATTAATACCTAGAAATTTATAACTCAACTTATAAAGATGTAGGCTAACTCAGTCAGCAGCTATATTGGGAAGCTTTAGTATGTTTTGAAAGTTTAATAATGCCTAGCAATTCGTGGCTAAATTTACTTTGAGATATATAGGTCAAGTGTGTGTGTGTGAGCAGTTTTATGATGAAAAAAGTGTTTAGAAAATTTATTAAAATTAGATATTCCTGACTCATCTTCCTGAGATATATGTCAACTCAGCGATATTTAAACCTGAAGTCAATATTAATACTAATCAACTTAAAACAAGTTGAAGCCTGGATTTAAAATAAGCTAACTTTGTTAAAAAACAACATTCTAATTTTCTTAAAAATAGCTTTTGAAACAATTAATGTGAAAAATCATCAAGACCAAATTTCTTAAAATCTCTCTACATAGATATTATGTTAGATGTGAAATATGCTTCACACACACATACTTATCAGCTTACAAAGAAAAAAATGAGAGAGAGAGAAATTAGGATCAAAGTAGGTTTTGGTAGATTCTTTTCGTACAATAATACTTCACATTAATTTTAAATCTCCCATTACCTACCTGATTCAAGTGTTTTATTTCTTGGTAATAGAAATCTGCTAATAAAATCTTTAGGTGTTAAGAAAATGGCTTGCTGGAGGACAGACTGCAGAGTTTCTGAAATAATATAAGTTGTACCCATTCTGTTTAGTATGCAACTCACAGTGCTGGAAAAGTAAATTCCACATGTAGTTCTAAAAATATCACTTTTTTCCCCTTCAACCTTTGAATTACATACTACTTTTTATATCCTACACTGCTACTGGGGTTTTAATCAACACAAGAAAATGTTAACTTCTGAGACAATAACTCAACTCTTCACACAGTTTAGCTAGAATCCCTTGATGAGATGATGGAGGGACCAATGCAAAATTTACATAGATGAGCTCCCTTCAAAAATTGTCCAAAGGAAGTTTATAGGTTGTGATGCCCAATGGCAGGGTCTCCAGAGGAGCACACCCATGGAAGGTTGCATTTCATCTCATCCAGAGTATACTTTTCATCCATATTGGAAAGGAAAGAGGCACAGAAGCCAGAGTTGTGTTGCAGGAATGGACAAAATTGGTACATAACAATACAAATACTTACAAGTTGTCAGACAGCCAATATGTGTAGCATTATTTGAGCTCATTCAGACCATACATTGTGTGTTCACCTCAACTCTCTACTGAACAAACAGTAGCTGCAGAAGGAGGACGTGCGAGATATAGATATTTGTTATTTTTGTATAGTAAGTGCTTACTTTTAGTCAACTGAAAATAATTTATGGGATAGACTATCTACATGAGGAGGGTACTGTATTAATGCAACATTGGTCTATATGTAGTGCACATGCACACATCACCTCTACTGAACAGGCTCTTGTTACAGGAGGAAGACACAGCACGGTCATTAATTATGTGCTCACCTCAATTCTACTGGACAGACTCAGGCTACAGGAAGAGGGTACAGTCATTTACTGTGTGCACACCTCAACACTATGTTCTGGCCACATGAGAAGGGTACAGACATTTATTGTGTGCACATCTCAACACTATGTTCTGGCCACATGAGAAGGGTACATACATTTATTGTGTGCACACCTCAAATCTACTGAACAGACTCGGCCGGCAGGAGAAGAGCATGTGTGGCATGAGTGATGTATCTTAGTTATATGTGGTGTGACCCAGACTACACGGTGTCACCACTGTCCCATTTCTCACTGTATTGGCACCCCTTGTTCTAGCCCCAGCAGTTAGGTCCCAATTGGTAAGGATTCTCTATGATCCACCACTTCATTGGCTAGAAAATGGAGAAGAAGTGTTTTACTGGAGACAGTGTATGGGGTGACTTCAAAACTGTTTTTAAAAGCCAGCAAGAGAAATGGGTAGATACATCTTCCTGGTGCTGGCTTTTTTCATGATAGTCTATGGATCAGATAATTGAGTAAATATAACACAATGACACCTCAAGTAATTTTGCAAAACACCACATTTAACAATGGAAACATGTAGAGCCAGAGCAGATGGTACAAGTATTTTCTATTGTCCTGACTCAATGAAAATTTTGGTTAAGTATACCCTGGAAGGAAACACTACCCAACCTAGTGGGATCATATGTATTGAAAGAGAAACAGTATATATTTTAACTCAAAGACAGTAATGCAATGGGAGAATGGCAACCTGTGGAAGATGAAAACAATCGGGAAATAAAAAAGCCAGATGGTAGAGAGATGGAGCTTGATATGTGGAAAAGTCCACATGCCCATCTGGAGAAGTTCATCCAAGGGTCAGCAAAGAAGAGGTGGAAGAAAATGAAAAGTGTGATAAATAGAATGCAAACATCCATATTTTGAGACAAACACATCAGAGGAGGAGACAGACTCATCCAGTGAAGAGAGAAAGAAAGAGGTCCATGGAAAAGAGGAATCCCAGGGTAGGGACAAAAGAAGACAGGTAAGAGGTCCATGATAAGGCACATAGAACAGCCCAACACAATACAGGAGCCAAGCTCAGATCAAACTGTCCAATAGGAGAGAGATGGAAGGAAGGGAAACAGGAGAGCTGTATGGTTTACCCAAGAGCCATAAAAAAAAAAAAGCAAAAGTCCGGGGTGAGGAAAGGATAAGTGTGATGGAAGAGAGTGTGAGAACTATCTAGAGAAAGACATCAGAATAACAGTAATCATAGGAGGAAACACATCAGGAGAGAAATAAGGTAAAAAAAATGGCAGGAAATCAATAGCTCAAATGAAGCATGCACGAGATTGACCTAAACCTCAACAAGGTCTCATTCAAGCAGAAAAGTAGTGTGAATAGGACAGAGGAAAATGAAGAAGTGGAACAGAACAAAGAGGATAGGGGAAGAAAAATCTTAGTATTGGGAAAGGAGAATGGCCATGGGTGGGGTCACCCAACAACTAGGAAAGGCTGAAACTGAGATTCTTTTGATGAACAGGCTGGTAAGAAAGGTGGTGCATAAAATTACTGCCAGGAAGAAATGAGTGGCAGAAGGAACAATGACAAAAGACCCACCACAGATGGTGATAGACAAATACAGTGGAAAGATGACAAGAATAATGTCATAGTAGTGGAGAGCCAACCTGATGGGGGATAGACCAGACAATTTCCATGTGCGAAGGTGGAGGGAGGATAACCCTTTATGAAGAAGGGAAGAGAGTGTGAAGCAAGAAAGGGGATAATGAGGAGAGGAAGGGGGGGGGGTCTGACTATCAAGCAAATCAAGGCCAAGGCAGTCAGAAAGGTGCCAATAAAAGAACCCAAGAAAGATAGTAGTTTGTAAGTACAAGGCCCAGAAGGAGGATGAAAATAAGGGAGTAGGTAAAGAGAAAGAGGTATGATCAGACATGGTTGAGAAAAAATGCCAGAGCTAAAAAATGAGAAACAAAGGACTGTAAAAGAGGAAGTCCAAATTTGATAAGGGTGCCAAAGCATCCAAGGAGGACATGTTCAATCAAGAGAAAACTCCACAGAAGATCTGAGAGTACAGAGGCTACTTCGTTGACCGAATCTGGGCAGATAGAGAGGTAGCCCACCAATAAGATGGAAGCTCCCTGCAAATGATGTGAATAAGTACAGAAATGTATTGCTAAAGAAAAACAGGAGCATGCCTAACAAAGAGAGAGAGAGAAAGTCAAGCATGTTGATGGGGAGTGCACTCTAGTCCAATATCCAAACTTGCCTCCATGAAAAATGTACCTAAATCAGAGAGAGAATCATCAAAGAAGAGAGAGATCTGGCTTGAGAGGTAGTAAGAGAATGCATGATGTAGGACAGGTATGTTCAAGTCACTGAGCAGCTACCATAAAAGGAGGGAAGTAGAGGAAAAGGAAACATCATTGAATGGGTTAACAGATATAAACAATCAATGAAAAGGAATGCCAGCCATGGGTCATGAATATGGCAAGCAAAAGCCTTCAAGATACCAACAAACAGAAGAGAAAATTCGATGAAGAGGAGCTGGTGCTGAGTTGAAGGGAAAAGTAAGGAATGGAGAGACTATAATAAAAGAGAGAATGGGCTGAGAGAGTGAGGTGTAGAAAGGTGTTTGACAGTGACAATGGCCAACTGCAGATCTGGTGAAAAAGACCATAGATGGGGTTGGAGAGAGGAAAATTGAAGAAAAGTAAAGAGAAGAGATTCACAAAAAGAGTTTAAGGTGGGAAAATGTAAAAAAACTCACATCAGAAATTGAGACCAATAACAGGAAAATAGAAAGGTACCCACAAAATTGTATATGTGTGATATTTATTGGCAAGTAGAGTGATAAATGAGACTTTTTGTAGATGGAAGATGAGAAAAAAGGATGGCCTGGAATTCAAAATGACAAAGAGAGAAGGAGATTGATCTAGACAAGGAAGAGGAGTAAAGGGCAAGGTTGAGAAAGAGGAAAAAAATAAATCTTGGAAATGGAACAAAGATAGAAGTCATATAATATCAGATCAGGTTACTAATGGAAAAAGAACACCACAAAAGACATCTGAGCAATAAAAGGGAGCCAGACAAGTAAAATGTACACCATAAGAAAAAAAGGGTACAGGAAAGTGGAATAGAACGTAACCCAAGAAGTCCTAACAGCAGGGGAACAAAATACAGAGAGAGCAGGAGAAGCAGAACAGGCTAAATAGAGAAGGGAATGACCGTTCACAGAAGCACCAAGAACAAATAAAAGATGGAAGTAGGAGAGGAAATACAGAAGGAAAGAAGACAAAAAGATGCAAAATAGGGAAACTAGAAAGTGAAATAGAATTTAAGGAGTTTGATCCCCAGACTGGACAGGTATATACCAATGACAGGGAATCAGGAAAAGGAAGGGAATAATACACAGCACATTAAACAATGGCTGCAACAACCCTGACAGTTAACAGGCCTCCAAAAGCCATACTAGAAATAAGGTCAAAGTGTGAACAATGCCCCTACTTAGGACTAAGTATAAATCATCATCATATAAAAAATCATGATAAAAATGAAAGTTTTGAAATGAAAGGTAAGGAAAATGAAAATCAAAGCTTCGTTAACGATGCAAATCTCAATAAATTGAACACACATGAGAAATTTAAACACATCTGATCAAGACAGTGCCAAGGATAAGAATGAAGATTTATAATTGCAAATGAATAGGAAGAGTTAGTGCACATGGAGGTATATTGCCCACCTATTGGTGGGGGCTTTTTTTGCATTATGACATTATTATGCAGTAACACAATTCATGTAAAATTGTGAACTTAAGTGGGAGTTGCTTCAAGACTAGTGACAAGCAAATGTCTTTAGCAGAACATGCTGAAGGGCTGAGGATGATAACTAAACTGTGTGAAGAGGTGAGTTATCATCTTGGAATAATTGTTTTGTGTGTGTGTGACTGTGACTCATATTTTATCGGTGTATTATTCATATCTACTGATATCCAATAGATAAACCTAAAGCATTTGTAGGGATACAGATTCCAGAAATGTACTACAGAAAATTATTTCAAACATGAACAGCAAAGCAATGAAACAAACAACAAAAAACCAACAGACACAGTTTATTTGTAGTTAAGCACAAAGCTGCACAATGGACTATCTGTGCTCTGCCAACCATGGGTATCGAAACCCGGTTTCTAGTGTTGTAAGTCCGTAGACATACCGCTGTGCCACTGGGGGGCCAGACAGAAACAGAAATTATTACTTTGTACCACACTTTCAAGTCAGAGAATGGCAATAAGCATGGTATACGATAATCCCTAACTGCATACATAACCAACTATTCCAAATAATACAGGAGAGAAATATTCTAACTTATATCATTTTGCATTATTGCCACTCCTTTAGATGAACTTGCCCCCCCCCCCCTAAATAATGGACACAGACAAATGGCCAGTGATCAATCTTCTATCCACTGCCGTTTGTAACCCATACCTGTGTAAAAGGATTATCACATATTGCTGACCTTCCTACATCCAGTTGACAAGAATGTCATAACAACATGCAGAATACCTGCACAAAAATGTAGAAAAATTACTTAAGTACATCTGAAAAAATATGTACTGTATATTATTTACAGAAGGGTAAACTTAACAGTTGTTCCAGCTATGACATTGTGAACTATATAACCAACAAAGTCGCTGAAGCACAATCAATTTGTTGTGCAAATAGCTTATAAAAATGTATCAAAAATGTAGAGGATTCTATATACTGTTTAATTGGTAATTTCAGAAATAAAATGAATATCAAAAAGCATAAAACTGATTTAAACAAAACTAAGTCAAGGCATTACTAGCACACTAAAAAACACCAACTTAATTTAAAGTCAACATTTCACCTTTGTGGCTTCCTCAGGGTTAGTATACTGAGGAAGCCACAAAGGTGAGACAATGGTTAATATAAAAAAATATTTTATATATATCTGGAGTGTAAAAGTCTTTTTTTTTCTAATTTTGTTATCAAAATGTGTAAGTCCCTCCAGTATGCACTACAAATTTTGAAAGAGAAAAATAAATTTAAAGCCTACCTTATTTAAGATATAAAAATTCTTTGAAAAATTTATAGTTAGTTTCAAATCTGTTTCATCTAGCTGATGATTTTATTAATCCAGTAAACATCCATAGTGACCATCAGATGTTAATAAAGATCAGACACTGATGACATAATAAAACATATGCTCACCTTCTTTTGGAATTAACTGAGGTACTCTTTCTGTAAGTTCTTCCAAAATACTGCATAGATCCAACTGTTAGTATGAAGAAGACATAATATTAACAATATAGTTTTATTGTATGAAATATCTGCTGTTGTTAACTACAAATATTACGTAGTCACTAAACTTTAGTTTCATTGTGTGAGTCATGGCATTGTTAACTATGAATATTGAATAGTTACTAAAGTTTAGCTTCAATTTGTGACAGACATGGCATTGTTAACAACAAATATTAAATGATTTACTACACTTTAGCTTCATTGTGTGAAAGGCCTGGCATTATTAAATATAAGTATTGAATAGGTACTTAAGTTATTATTTTCCCATACTGAGAATATATTTCTGATAGGTACTTACCTGCACTTACATGTATAGCTATTCTCTTTCAGTGTTGCCCTCTATATGCAAACATTTTTTACATGCCACAAGCCTGATCTCTCGCATACCCCATGATCAATGTGGTTCACTGCATCTCGTATGTAAGTCATCATGGGAAAACCCTCCACCAATAGGAATGTGACACATTCTCCTGATGCACAATTATCACTGTGATTTTAAGTGGGGAACAAGGGTGGGAAATGTGAAAGGAGGTAAGTACCAATATAGGAAAATAATAACTTCTGATACGGTACCTTACTTCTGTTCACATGTATAGCTAGAATCCCACATTGAATAGGTGGAGGGACCAGTGTGAGGGATATAAAGAAATATCTTTTGAAAACATACGAAGAACACATATGAAATGTGATCCCTGTTGGGAAAGGAACACACATGTGAGATCGCACCATTTCTGTACAAGGTATACTCAGTGCCCAGTGTAGAAAGAGGTGTTGCATATATATATAGGAGGATCACAACCAAAAAGGACAGAAAAACCAGATGGGTGCAAACTTGAACTACAATGTAACTGAATCTCAATCCTGTTGAAGAATGACTGTAGAAGAACCATCCACAGATAAAAGTGTAGGGAAAATGAATGTGTTCCAATGTGTAGAGTGGCTAGGATGCATTGGACCATATGCGGTAGTCAAAAACCAACCAGCATCAGGAATAAAACTTCCGACCCATGGTAGGAGGAAGGTACACACTGTCTTCATCTCAAGATGAGTAAATAGAAGGTTATACTTTTCAAACCAAACTATGAAACAGGGCACATGTATGCAAATCCACAACTATACATTCGGGAACCTGATATCCAAATGATAGCAAGAAGGGATATGCCAATGTGGCAGTTCACATCAATTCAAACCCAACCAGACTGGAACCCCACTGCACAACAGCAACCGGAGGTAAGGGAAACTCTATCAAATGGAGTGCTAGTGGTAGAACCTTTGCCCCAAGCAACATCATCTTCTGGATAAGATTGCACAGAAGTTGGAGTGCAGTGCACACAACTGGGACTACTGCACAGAGGTGGAGAATATGAGAGTAAACTAGAAATGTTGAGTTAGGAAGAGGAATCAAAACCAGCATGTGTAAAGATTTATGGTGATTTGTCCATCTCTTATCCAAAACTACTCACTGAGAACCAACATTCAGATGATGATAGGAAAAGGGATCCCAATCAGAGGGGTGAACTGCAATGTAACAGATCTACTCCAAAGCAACATCATCCCCTGGCTAGGACCATAAAAAGTCAGTCTCTAAAACATATATGCAACTACACCCTCTAGATAGAACCGCATAGAAACTGGGTGCAATATCAACCTCCATGGAGTTGGAGCGCATGATTCGAGAATCAAATGCCACCTACACCAGCAGAACACTACTGCCCAACTCTCTACTTAATGGAAGTGATCACATTTAGGAGGACTTTCCCATGGTTCACTTTTCCAGCAGCTCAGAACTGGAAAGTGACAAGGACTCCCATTCTTCACTAGAAGAACAAGGGGGACAAAATGCAGTGGAAAGCCTGGAGAAATGTCAACACCAGAGACAGTGCAATGAGTGACCATGAAAATCCTAATTTGAAAAGCAGACTTCCCATGATTTATTTCAAAGGAAGAGAAGGGATGGGCAATGGGAAGGATATTGATACAGGAGACAACAGGGGCAGGGATAAGAAAAGGATGAACAAAACTTGGATCACCCAATGATCGGTAGTGAATTCCCACCACAGGGGAACAAAATATCGCCAAAGTGCCCCCATTGGACAGGAAAATACCTGATAGTCAGCAGAACTGTTGACAATGATGAATCCAACATTGAGACACACAACGAAGTGTCGAACATTAGTGGTAGGAAATGATATGGGACAGGAGGGTGCAGGACGAGAAATGGTTAAGGGAGAAGACATGGAATCAGAATGATACAAACAAGCAACCAAAGACAAAGTTGTCAAAATTTGTCTCACAGATTCCACACATGACTCCGAAGACTAGGGAATATCTCCAGAAACAGACCAATAGAGAAGAGGAGTCACCCATAAGTCACAAAGATAAATGGAAGGTAGACGAACCTGAGAAAAGACAGTGTCTCTCCCACTAAGATCCCAACAGCAAAGAATCCACATGTGATGGGATAGGGCTATGGAAGAAAACTGTGCCAACATGAAGGTAATGAGGGAAAGGGTATCACCCCAAATCCCCTCAGGGGATCAGTGGAGTGCTTTTGAAAGGTGTATTGTGGAGAAGTGGAGAGCTTTCAGGGCAAGACAAAGGCAAGAAAGCTGGTCATAGGAGAAATGGATAGTGTTGTCAGGGTCAGCCCTCCTCACTGGCAAAAAGTGACTCCAACTGCTGAGAGTCGAGAAATGGTTGATCAGCCTGATGATAAGCTAAAGCATAATGATCAGAAGCCTGTGGAGAAAGAGGCATGCAAGCACTAGCTCTCAACTGAGAAATTAAATGCTCAGCATGAACCGTGATGTTAGGAGAAGGAGTGAAAACAAGGCACTCTAAGGATGGGGTGTCATGTAACAAAGAAGGAACAGGATCATATGAAGTAGGTGAAATTGATAAAATGGAAAACACCTGAGAAATCATATCCAAAATGGATGAGTTAAGCTTGGCAGATTCTGCAGGAGAGGTTGAGAAGGTATGGCATAATTAGATGGAGAAAAAAAGACTGTGAAACTTCTCATCATCATGAACACATTTTGACAATTCAGGAGGAACACAAACACTGTTGAAAGAAGAAGATCGACTCATATAATGATCAATCTCCCAGCAAATGATAGCCAAAAAATCCTCAGTCGAGATCCCCAATCTCAAGACTGTGTAATGGCACGTGAAATAGTGGGGAATAATATCAAAAGTTGTAACACAAACTTCAAAATTCATCTTAAATGGTGAAAAACTTGAAAAGAAAAAAAATTATAAGTTATCATGGCAAAATAGTACAGAAAACCAACTGTAGCAAAATAATAATTAAGTTAAGTCACTACGTCACACAAAAAAATAAATGACAATGTAAAGAGAGCACAACTGAAATACATCTGCACTAGAACACTGCCTAATGAGAAATGATAGTTTGGTAGAATCAAATAGAGGGAGTCACATGCATTGGGAAGGTGTGTTGCACTTCTATTGATTACATGCGAGACACAGTGAGCCATGTTGAACATAGGGTATGTGGGAGCTAAACGCTTATGGCATGTGAAAAGAATGCTTCCAGATATAGGGCAGCACTGAACGAGAATAGCTCGTTTCGATATGTACTTATATCAGAATCTTAGCTTCATTGTGTGAAAGTCATGGTATTGTTAATGACAAATGTTTAATAGTTACTAAACTTTAGCCTTGTTGTGTGAAAGATATGGAACTTTTAACTATAAACATTGAATTGTCATTACACTTTAGTTTCATTGTGTGAAAAGCATGATAATTAAGTGTATAACAAAAACATATAAAATGAAAGCATGAAAACTTAGAAATAAAATAAAAAATACATTCTGAATTTACACAAGTTTTGTGTGAGTAAGTTTTACAGACTGGGACAATAAACTGGAGCCACAAGTGGTATTAGACTTTTACCTTTGGCAGATTTTCCAAGTAAGCTGCTAGTTTCAGAAGCTGCTGCAACAGCTCATTCACAGTAGAAGTGTCATCATCAACCCTTTGAAGACAACTTGTGCTTTTTCTGATCACTATCCAGTTCCATTGAGAAAATAAACGTCTCGGTATCTGTCGACAGCTAATGAAAAACCTTCAAAGGGGAACATTTCTAATACCACATTCTTCTCTCTTTACAAACAAGGTCATGACACAACAATTAGTTTGTTGGCAGTTTTTCTAGTGTTAAAATTTAACTTAGTGTTTTCTAAGTTAAATTTTTGCATCTACTATATGCAGAATTTGAACATGAAACCAATTACACACAAGGCAAGTGTTCTATCAAGTGAGCTAAAAGATTAACCCACTAGCATATGCTAGTAAAACACTTTCTAAGAATCCACACTATGACATGTACACCAAAATACAATTTTAGATTATTATAAAGTGTAAAATAATGCAATGTTTATTTGGATGAAATATAAGACACTGTTACACAACTGAGTAAAACAACTGTACATTTCATAAATATTTATTACTACCATAGTTTTGCCAGTAAAGATAAAACCATATCGTAATAAATGAAGTATTGTGAAATATACAATTCTCTTTGTTTTCCTCAAGTCTGTAATTTTGGAATTTCACCAAGTAATGATTATTTCAAGTATTAATTCAAGTGTCATTGTCTCTGTCACTGTGTAAACTGATCTCTTGTTAAAAGAAAGATAAAAACAATATTTAAGGATTTAAAACAAACCACAAAGAGGATACATTATGTGATATTATAATAATCTTCACTTCTTTAAAGTAACCATCTGGTAAATCCATGTCAGACGAACTTTCTTGCATCAGATCATCCAGAAATTGTCTAGAACTCTGTATTTCCCCAAAACATTTAGTATTTTATTCATACTCTTACCACCATTAATTACGAGTTTTCACTTTAAAAAACTTTAAGAAAGGAAAAAAGAGCTAAAAAGCATTAGCAATTTTAAAAAAAAGTTTAACACACGCAATTCAACTTGCTTCCTAAATTGTTAGTGAAATAAAATACAACAGGTTAAAACTCATCACTAAAAACTTCTAAATAAACTGTGAGCATCATAGAAAACATAAATCTACGATGTTTCTTTGTAAACATAGAACTAAATATATCAGGCTTTACAATAAGGTCCAATAATTATAATTAAAATGACAATTTTTTATTCTTTTTTGTACTACTGTGTTGGATATACAAGATTGTTTAGTGTAAGAGTTATTATTTAGTTCATTTAGTGATCTAATATCTAATGATTATTTAGTTTTCATAACAAGAGTGTTAAAAATTACTTGAAAGGCAATAATTATGATAAATTTCTTTACATAACTCGGTAGGAGTTGTACATTGTGTGTGTAGTTCAGTTGTTGTAATTTGATGTCACATCACTCGAACCTTCTGTATTTTTCTCATTGCTATAAGTGAGTATTGTTTCATCACAGCATCTTGTAGTTTGTAGAAAGTTCTAGGTCTCATTTGGGCAATGTATATATATATATGACCAAGTGAGCACAAGTTTAATCAAGTAAAAAAATGTTAAGTTAGTGAGAGTGAAGTTAAACTACATTATTGCTAGTTTAGCCATAACAGGCAATATTTAAAGTGAGTTTCACAGTGATATTGTAATAACAGAGATAAAGGAGAATAATTTGTCTTGTCAAAGGGTGTTCTAAAGTAATTGAACTTGCCTGTGTGGACTTTGATGAAAAGGAGACAATTATTTAAAGTTCTAGACACAACTGTGGTAACCCACAGGGTAACATAAGTGAATTTATTGCAGATTGTGCAGTAAGAAACAAGGTATAGAAAAATAATTTTTCTTGTCAGTTGAGTTCTAAAGTAACTGAACTAGCTTGTATGGACTTTTGACAAGAAAGAGAATTATTTAAAGCTTTGGATACAGCTTTGGTAATCAATAGAGTAAAGAATTTTTGTACATACATATAACTTGTTTTGAATATATTATTTTAAAACAAGTGGATTGTGTGCTGTTCATTTATTGTTGACATTTGTTGCCAACAAGTCATAGACACTTACTGTAAAATAATCCTAGCTCATGTTCAAAACCTGACACACTGAAACATAGAAAACAACATTCAGAGACATAATTGCTATATCAAACAAGTGGAACCTTTCTTTTAATATATCCATTTTTGTTAATGTTCAATTTGCACAATGTTTCTTTTACATCTGGAACATTTAGTGAAGGCCTAATTGCGTTTTGTGTTAGGTGGCCCTTCTTTTGTAGTTATGCCACTTACTGAGTGTGTTATCAGTATTCTTATGTGTAATTCATATCCTGCTATATCAATATCATTCCAATATATCATATGATCTTCTCTGGTATAACAATCCATTGCAGACAGATTGGTTAACAGAGTCTCTGTTATGCTCCTGAATTTTAACTATTTTTCTTCAATGTATTCAAATCCACACCAAAAGAGGATAATGTAAATAGTGTTTTTCTTCCTTACTAGGTCTTCAGATAGCTTGGAGTGAACAAATTATGATAATATGGTGTTGTGATTTCTGAACACTGTTCTGACTTTATGGTGATTACATATTCTCTGTATGTTTTCAGAGATCTCTCTATTAACTGGGGAATAAATATGGCTGTATGGATGTAGTTTTCTTCCTTTTTGTTCTTGTTTTTTATCTTTGTTTTATTCTTTATCAGTTGTTCCAAGTTTCCATTGTTTAGGAGTGTTGTAGTGATATGTTTTTCCTTCCATCTTCATAGCTCTTTAGTTATTATAAATCTTAAAATCCTAAAACACTTCTATCAGCAAGGGTACCCAACTGATGACCTTGGTCAGTATGCTTTTTTGTAGTTTGCCTGTTACTCATAATTAAGACTATTATTAATTGTAGTTATTATTGTATAATTTTAGCAGATCTTTGGATAAAAATTATTAAATAATTGTTCTTTCCAGAAACTAGGCAGTCTATGACACTTGTCTTTACACTGTTGGGAAGGTTTGATTTACAGGTATCTGTAGGTTTCCTGTAATCTTCTGTGATATGAGTTAGGTGTCTTGATAACCATTATGTCAATGGATGAGTTTGTTATCTCTTTCTGTTATAAATTGTATTGTGGGATGTCTGTTCAGGTGATTCATGAATTGTTCAATCTTATGTATTGTGTTAAAGCTTAATCAACTCTGTTCCATGCTTCTTAAGGCACAAAAGGCTGGTGCTTTTGATTTCAGGTTTACAGTGGCATAAGTGGATGAGAATGGTGACATGTTTCCCCTTATGCCAGTACACTGCAAGTTAACCCCCAGCTAATAGCTGGTACCAATTGTACAGCTGGGTAGACTGTAACAACTGTGTAATGAGTCTTGTTCAAGGACACAACAGCATAATGTGGACCAGCCTCAAACTTGTAATCATCCTACTACAAGTCCAAAGTGAGAAGTCACTAAGCCTTGCTTCCCCCTCTGTAGTATGTGGTCATATTATAAATGTATCAAGAATATATCTGAGCCAAATCTTATGGTGTAAAGTGACTGTTTTGAGGGCACTAACTTCAAAATTTTCTATATAGAAGTTACTGTGCACTGGTTATGGGTGAGCCAATAACTAGAGCTCCTTATTGTTGATAGTATCTTTCTTCATGCTGGATATAAGTTATATTGACATAGAAGATTGTGTGTTCTTTTGTTGTGGAGATTATCTGTATGGTGCCTTCCTTAAGAATTCTATTATTTTCTAGCTGTTGGAGGAGAATTTATAGTTTTTCAGAGGTTGAATGTTAGTTAAGAAGTTGGATACATTAAAGCTTATCATTATGTCTTATAAGGTTATCATGGTTGCTTTTATAATCTCTACAAAGTGGGCTGAGTTTTTAGCATATAAAAATGTTTTACTTGGTGATATTGACAATGAGACTAGCATACCATGAGTTTAACATCCCTTTAGTTATTAAGTAATTTTTTTTCCAAAATTGCTCTACATATTGTATGTAGTCTTAATATAGAATGACATTCAAGGAAGCCACTAAGTTTTTCTTATCCTAGTTATTCACAGAACTAGGTAATTCAATTAGGATGTCAAATACACTTTCTCATGAGAAAGATTCCTGAAACATACAACATACTGTACAGAAACAGTCATTAACACTAAAAATTCAGGTGTTGCCCAACATAAACAACATCCCTCATTTTTAGTAAAGTGATTATTAGTTATGTGAGTACTGTTTCCACTCTAAGAAGAGTGACATTACTATGATTAGTATATAATGCCATGTTTTCTCAGTCTGGAAAAAAAATGATTTAAGATTATTAAAGATACTGATTTGCTTTAAATACACTGAGAACTCTCAAGTAAAGGTGACATCTAGAAAATACACTTACTTTAAGCTTTGTTTGTCTTTGTGTTGAAATAAAGATTGTCTCATTATGCTTAACTCTTGCCCAGTCTCTTTAGCTGCTTCAAACTCAGTTGAGACTACAAGAACTCAAGCATTAACATTTTCTTACCAGTGATCAGAATGAGGTGAAAAGCAATTGTCCTGATAGGTGCTTGAACTTGGGATCTCCAACTCATGCTAGTACCCTGACATTGATGCAGTACCAAGTCAACCATCAGGACTAAAGCTGAGAACTCTTCATCTTGACTGATGCAATATAATTTTTTCCTTTAAACATACAACAAATATAGTATATTCAATAATTTCTAATATACTTACTTCAATTTGATGCACAAAGTAAGAGCCTTGAAATAAAAGTAGACCTGTTCCTCCACCAATTTCTAGATATTTTTCATGAAGCATCTTTATTGTTTTGTGAATATGATCTAATGGAAATAATGACCATTACACACTGAAAATCATGTTAAATCTTATCCACTATAAACATGTAGAAATAAGAATAACTAGAAATAATTGTGAACATAAAACACAGAACGTTCTTAAGACTCATTATTCAACAGTAAATGTTACGTACATTACAGAAGTTATTGTAAACACAACCATGTAATAACAAGTATACCATTACACATTTAATATTGAGTTCAAAATGTTAGATCTATTCTAAACACATTTTTTATTCTTTAATAGGTGTATTTAATTTTTTTCAGCCTACTCACCAGCAGCTTTTTGAGAAGTTGACTCTTCTCTCAGTTTTCCAACATACACAAGTTGATGAACTGCTACTTTCTACAAAAATAAAAACTTAATATTTTTCTAATTTTAAAATATTTCTTTAACATTGGCTATATGATATAAAACATAGTACAGTGTTGGGTGGAAGGACAGTGTACTTATTGATTTGTAAAGATAAAAAAATTATTTCAAATAATTAAAAAAGCTACAATTTTATGGATCTACTTTCCCCATTTTAAGAATAGAAAACTTGATTTTCACAGATATAAGAAACCTAGGTGTTATGTTAAATCCCTACCAACACACAGGCCTCTTATAAAATCTTATATTCCCAACTGATTTCTTAACTGGAAAGCTTGTAATTAGCTCAATTTTTTTGCAATGGAAATTTTTTATACTATTCAAAATGATGAAAAGAGACTTCTACCCTGAAAAGATATCCAAAGTTTATTCTGGAACTAATATTCAAATAATAATTTTCAAATGCTGATCATTACAAGCAAAATAATATTTATGACACAAACATAAAATTTAATTCTATTATAAGATATATATATATATGGCTATCACATCCAAGTAAGTTATTTCTCCAGAAGGGTGGTAAATCTGTACAACAAATTTCAGAACAGAGCATGAGATGAATAATTGATGGATCAAGGATGGAATAAGTGATTAATTTTCTATTTCTTGAGGGAACTGAGAGTCAGAAAATCCTTGATGGCTGAATATGTCCTTTATTCTGATAACTTATAAAACTAAATTCCCAGGTAAAAAAATAAATACTTGATATTTTAAAAAGTTGCAACACAAAATACATCTATGTAAAAGCTTTTCCTTTTGAACTGTATCCTGTAAAGAATAAGAACTTGATAAAGTTAAAATTTTCTTAATCTGAAATATATTTACAGTAGATACCACTTCACACAGAATAGCTGTATCCCTTACGTGTCCACCTATAAGACTTGAATTCCACTATCCTTGAGCTAAATCCCATCTAAAACACACATGTTTAGCATGAGCTGCACTGGAGCATAATGACATCATCATGTGACAAAAGCCCTCTACCAATAGAAGGGTGACAACTTCTATGTGAAATAATTCCCTTTAAGCACTTGCACTCAAAATAACTTCATTATTACACAAGGCAAGAAGAAAGTGTACAGGAAGTAGGGAGGGAACCACAACTCATCTCAACCAAGATATACTCTTCTCCTGAAATGTATAGGGGGAGAGACAAATAAGCTGCATCTGCAGTAAATGGTTAAATAAGAATATGTCCATCCAAGCACCTTGTACACAAGTGGTCAGCAAGCCAATAGGTATAGTGTGATAAATTCATGATCAGACCACATGGGGTATGCTTACCTCAACTCAACTGGACATATTCAGACTGCTGGAGGGATGCTGTTTGAGGGATGACTTGCACTACACTGAGAGCACCACCACTGCCCTACTTCTCATCATATTTTACTGAGCTCAATCAGTGTGGAACTCTCCATGGTTCACCAACTCAGCAGCTGGTAAGTGGTAAGGGTCTCCTGTATGAAGAAAGTGAGACAGGAGATGTGATGAAATTGAGTGAACCTGCATGTATCAATATCCAGAAGAGAATACACTAACCAGAGGAGCTAAAGGATCCAACTGGAACAGATGAAAAATTCCTAATGCTACCTGGTTTTGGATTTGGCAATCACCCACCAAGTATAGTTCACCCCTCCAACTGGCTTTCCCCTATCTTACTACTGTCTGAATGCCAGTTCTCGGGCAGTCTAGTGTTGAATAGGCACAGGACCAACCAACAAAAGCTCTCACTCATGTGGTTGGAAGGTATTCTTCTTCTACCTTGGACCAGAATCAAAAATACCTAAGGCCATCTGGTTTTGGACTGGAGTTGACCCACTATGTTTGCTTTCCTCCATTCTACCATTGCCTAGTTCCCGGGGTGGCCTGGTTTTGGAAATGTGCAGGGACAGCACACATGAGCACTCCCTTGGGTCAACAGAATGGAGATTACTTTTCCCTTCTACTTCCTGTGTTTGATGTGAAGATGGTTGGTACCCTCCTCCTACCTTGGACCAGATAAAAAATGCCTAGTGCTGTTTGGTCTTGGAATGCAGATAACTGCCAAATCATGTAAATAATTAGAAAAAAGTGTATTAGGCCTGGCCCACATACCAGCCTGTACAATCTCCTCCAGTGAGCAATGCGACCAGGCAGCCTAGGACATCAAGATATGGCGAATTTGATGAGATGAGACCCAAAGAAGTCTCTGTTCTTACAATTGAAAACCCAGAGTAAACAATATACACCAATGGATGAATCCAACCTGTCAAAGTGACAGGGGATAAGTCACCTTATACTTTAGGATCCCAATGGGTAAACAAATGGTGACATGAACCCCAATACTCTTCAGTGCTTGCAACATAACATCAAAGAGCCCGAACCAGGCATAAAAGACAATCTGTATCTGAGCATTCATAAAAATGAGAAATGGTAAGAAGATGAATTGGAGAGAAAGCCTTATCCCCTTCTCTTGCCACTGGAGTTTTGGGAAGAAAGCGCCTATAAGGATACACCAGAACATAAGTGGAATGGTAAAGAGTCCTGTCAACATGAATTGCAAACACATCCAAACGTCAACATCTGCTAGCTAACAAGAGAAGAAAATAAGTCTTAATCAAAAGGTAATATAGAGAACATGACACCAAAGGTTCAAAAGGTAGAGGAGATAAGGCATGGAGAACCACCAATATATATCCCAATTAGGATTCTGGAAAGGACATCGAGGATGGATAACCCAAAAAGATTTCACAAGCAAGGCCAAAACCAAAGACTCAAAAACATGGCATCTTCCAAAAAAATGCAAAGTAGCTGACAAAGCTACCTCATACAGAGAAATGGATGAAAGTGTCAAACCCTTGTTGAAAAACCATGTCAAAAATCAAGAAACATGAGGCATGGTGAGATGAGAAGGATTAAAACCATGTGAGAAATTGAGAAACATGAGGCATGTGAGATGAGAAGGATTAAAATCATGTCTGAGAGACCAAGAATGATAAGTAAACCATTTCTGTTGATAAATGTCCAATGAAGAATGCCAAACTGACTGCATTAATAAATATGCCACCCGAGAGGTCAATCTATGATGTCATGGATTGACCCTATAAAATTCAGGTGTGAAGCTGGAAAATGGTAATTGCTGAATGAAAAATGTCCGACTGAAGCTGCCATAAGAGGGATGGCCAGAGAGGAAGTAGAAGATATTGACACTCCTGAAGATACTGAAAGAGTGGAAACCAAGGCTTATTCAGCCAATATGGTGCCACCATAAGAACTCAACAGGACTAGAAGCGAATCAGTGCAAGAACCTTAGATAACAGATAAATCAGAAAGAAAGTGTAAAGATGAAGATCTGTCCAATCCTGGCTGAGAACATCTATGCCCAAAGCCAGAGGGAGAGGAACAGAAGACCAGAAGGATGGGAGCTGGACTTTCCAGTGAGTGGCAAAAGCTTCGAAATGAGGCATGCTGAGATGAGAGCACATCCAATGAAAGATTTGAGGATGAACCAACCATTCTGTGGGAAGAACACTGTTGGGACGAGATAACTGATCAATTACATAACACCTGGAACATGACAAGCAAAGATTGTGGACTCAAAAAGATGATCCAATGTCTGAAAACAAAGATACCTGGAGTGAGTGCCCCCTAATTTAGCAGTGAAAGACTAGAGGGAAGGCAGCTAGTCATTAGCACCCACTTCCAACAGTTGGGCTACTCTTTTAGCAATGAATAGTGGGACTGACCATCACATTATAATGCACCCATGGTTGAAAGGGCAAGCATGTTTGGTGGATAGAGATTCGAACCCGTGACCCTCAGATTGCAAGTCAAGGGCCATGCTGGGCTTCTTGGAAATGTAGGAGATTACAGTGGAATTGTCCAAGTGAAGCATTACCACCTTCCCTGACAACAATACGAGAGCCCAAGGGATAGCTCATTGAACTGCTATAATCTCTAAAAGATTGATGTAGAGAGAAGATCCCCTTCTGTCCCTGGAGAGAAGCATCTATGAAAAGATGTTCAACCACCAGCCAAGACCAAGTGGGCTGGTAGCCAATAGGGTCATCAGACAATCCAATGTATCCATGCAAATGTTCCATTGGTCCCATAACGACCACTGAAGGGAACACATATGCCTGACCCAAAGGAATGAGTGATTCGAAGGATGCACACATCCCCAAAAGAGATAGAACTGCACACACCATTGGAAAAGGAGACAATTGTATGAGAAGAATGGCCTGTTCCATGGCTTGAAGGCATAGAGGATAAGGTTGGGCCTGAATGAGACATGAATGAAAAATACCCTTAAATGGATAAAGTACTGTGTGGGAAACCCAGCTCTCTCAACTTTGGAAAGAGCTGGTGTGTGAAGCTGAGCTGTGTTATCATCAGGAGTGCAGTAAAATGTAGAATTATTAGAGTGTATGAGACTGTTCCCAGTTTCATGGTATTTTATCATTATACAACAAATTATTAAGTAAAATTTTGTATTGTATTTTAAGACTGGGATAGTCTCATTTTTAGATATTTATTGTGTATCATTAAATGTTGATTATTTTTCTTTAAACATCTGTGTTATTTAGATTCTATACAAGTGTTATCTTAATCTCAATAATGAGCATGTATGTATTCATCTCAGTTGGTTCCTTTGGGATTAACACATTTAGCAAGCATATATTTGACATTCTGTATTAAATGTTCTGTTAAATCATTAGACTGAGTGTAATAAGACAAAGTGTGTACCTTCACCACACCAAATACATTACATAACTCAGAGGATGGCTGACTTTTAACCATTGGACCAACCATATACTGGAGAATGAAAGTTGACTGTAATTTCAAATTTACTAGGTCTATGTACACAACATGTGGGAGGCTTTGAATCAACAGTACAAGTCTGTTGTTCACAAAAAACATATGTGTTAAAAGCATATACATACTCTAGAAGTGTCTGTGAATTGCTGAGGTCAGTCTAATTCAGACTCTGACAA